CTACATCTGTATTTTTAGAATTTTTGCTTGTCGGTCTGTCTGGGAACGCATCACTAGAAAACCACTGGACAAATTTTGATGAAATTTGGTATCATGATAGCTGGTCATTCGGGTCAACATATAGGATACTTTTTACTGCGGGAATATATCTCAACTCTGAGAAATCTATACTAAACGTTAAAACGCAACGAACCCGAGCAGAGCGAGGGTGAGTCGCTAGTTCCTAATATGAGTTTTGTTGTTAATTTGTTCCGCTTTTCCTAAAGCGAACCTCATTAGCCCTGCACAAAAAACTCGTAAATCTCTTCTTTACCCAATCCCGGGGGAATAATTTCGTTTTTTCGGAACAAAAAGTATTTAATTTCAGTCGAAACCTCTATTCTCTAGTGTCGACACAAACGGATGGAAATTTTTCATTTAGAAAGTTTTACTTTTGATATCTTGCAAATAATCACATGAGCTCAATTTAGTGTAGCTATGGTGGAATCAAAGACTTCAATGACTAAGTAACTATATACATATTAGAGATATAAGACTCAGGGTCAGAAATCCCCCAACGTGCGTTCACCTTGTCGTGGTGGGGGGGCTCAGTAGTGCCCGGCAATCCAACCGGGCGCGAAGCTAAGAAACGCACTGGGAGGTTGCCCACTTCGGTGGGCGGTGGGAGGTGGCCCTCTTCGGGGGGCGGTGTACCATGCGGGTTGCTCCTGGTACTTCTCTGATAGCAGAGTGGACTGTGGAGCAACCCCATGGTTGTGGTGGTCTGCTTCGGCAGACCTGCCGTCGGGGCGTCGTAGTTGAATGCGTAAGCGATCCTGCGACGCCCCACTAAGACGGGGGAAGGTTTTGTTGGGTTTTAGTGGGTAGTACTGGCTGTATTACGCCGGTGAGTCCCACACGTCGTGCGTAAATGCATTTCCCAACGTTAAAAAAAAAAAAAAAGGGTCAGAAATTTTGACGATACGATAGACTTGGTTGGATCCTGTGAACCGATGTATATATCTACCTACTATGTTCACGCGAGGGGCTACATACAACAAACAAACACACTCACAAACTTTCGTATTTATTATATAATTATGATTAGTCTTACACGTTTAAGGGGATGTTAATATAATTTAGCTGGAAAATGATAAAAAGCTAGAAATTCTTATGTATTAGTCTGTAAGACCATATCTATGGGACCCTATGAAACACCTCATTACATCAATACTCGTAACTTAGCAACTAATAATGAAAATGAAATAATTCATTCTAGCCCGTAGGGCCTTATGTGTACTCTTCTTTTAATATATTTTCAGGCTTATTATTCGAACCAATCAACTTCTGCGTATATTTTGTTACCATTTTATAAAATATCTAATTTTCAGATATGTTTCTCTTGAAAATACGTAATTATAACATTTTCTAAAACAATTCGAATCAAATATGGATTTTTATTGACAGATGCTAATATAATGGATCAAATGAGTATATTGGACTCAATTTGCAATAATCAAAGTTAGATTATTTTCAACCGCTTAGATACGCTTAGCTATTAGCATTATAAACATCGCACCTCACCCTATTCATTGCTCGCACTGCGTATGAATTCATCGATTTTTATCATGACGTGTTTCACAATATTTATTTCAAAAAGCATTTATTTTCTGGCTGGTGTGATGTGGCACATACATACTATGTACCTATATCCAAAGTAATAAATAACAAATTTTAAATTATATTAAATATATAGATGTACTCGTATAATGCATATACATATATATATATATATATATATATATATATATATATATATATATATATATATAAATCTGAATGACCTCAAAAAGGCTCAATCCGCTTTTTGTTTGTTTTGTGTAGGTATTTTTTCGTTAATTTAAAACGTTTCTCTTAATTCTTGTTTTAATGCGTAGTATTTATCTATATATACTAATACCTATTATAAAAAGGCAGAATTTGTTTGAACACGCTAATCTCAGGAACTACTAATCCGATTTGAAAACATATTTTTGCATTAGATAGCCTCTTTATTGATGAAGGCTATATGCTACGAACGGATCCAGTGGGATAATTTGTTTTTGTCCAGGGACGAACGCGAAGTGAAGTGAGGTTGAGTCGCTACTGATAATGTAATGAACTTCAATACAAGATTTATTTGCTTATATTCACATATTAAATATTAATTGTACTGTCTGTTTGAGTATACATATATGATAAAGAAAGACACGGAAAACTCACATAACTGGAAACGTTTTATTATTGATCGTTAGATATGAAAAAAAACACAATGTGCAAAACAAATTATGAAAGACATAATTCAAAGTCCTAAATTCAGCAACACAACGATGCTGGCTTAACTTAAATAACCTCTTATTATACCTATTAAGTTGCTCGCTCTCTGACATTTTAAATCCTTTGTAGTAACAAAAGTGACATTTGAAAGTAATAACTTAGTCAGGTCTATTTAGAGACCTTTCAGACTGTCTTGTCGAGACCACCGGGTCTTTAGCGGTTAGCGGGTACGTAGAATGGCGTACACCCGGCTATTATAATATTATAACACGTCACAAGCCAGAATACTGATCATGACCAACGCGATTGGATCGATAGCATTTAAAATTTTATATGGTTCATAATTCAATAGACATTGATAGGTAAATCCAGTGGAAATATTACGTTCGCTTGGAAAACCATGGAAGCCCGGGTTTCGAATTCGGGCATCGCGACTATAATGCTCTCATGTGCGAATCATTTTCAACATCGCTCGCTTTATATCGAGGAAAACATCGCGACTGGACCTGCATGTCTCATAGAACCCTGCAAAATTTCAAAAGATATATGAAAGAAACTGAAATTAGAAGCCCAGTTACCACTGGCTTAGTGCTCGATTGAAAAATCAAGTGAAGTGGGTTCAAATTCCATAGATTATATAATCTATGTATATATATATATATATATATATATATATATATCTTACCTTTACATATGTATATCTTACTAATACCTATTATAAGTGTGAAAGTTTAGATGTCTGGATGTTCTATCTGGATGTGGCATAGAGATAGATTATAGTCTAGAATTGTACATTGGTTACTTTTTATCCCAATGTACGGTTCCCGTGGGATCGATTTGTTTCTGTTTTTTGTGTTTATATAAAATATAAATTACACTGTTCGTACATATTTGTATTGCCAATATTATATGCCAGAAAAATAGTAGAAAAGCACATTTTGTGTGGCAATTCTCAATTTCATTTGGGAACCACGCGAAAGATTTATTGTTAAAATAAAGATAACCGAAACTACCGTTCTCGTGCCGAGCGAGCGAGCGGGCTATGTATGTATGTATGTGCGAGCACGCTGCGCCGGTGCCGCTCGCTTAATGACTTGCTCGCTAATATTACTTTTAGATTTGCGAATCTCCTTAATGCGATGTGAAAATGTAATTTGAAGATCGCCATTAGATACTATTCATACTTAATGAAAGTGATCATCGAGTGATCATAAATACAATATCTTAGCCTTCAGACGAATTGTGAAAATATCTAAGCTCAACCAGCTAATACATTTAGGGTTTGGGTCCCGGATATTGTATCTCGAAGTATTGACGACACGTTTGGCTTAGTTTGTAGTGACCCTACTTGCTGTGCCAGCGGTCGCGGGTTCGAGTTCCGCTGGGAGCATTCATTTGTGTGATGAGCACGAATGTCTGTACTCCAGTCATGGGTGTTTATATTTATAATATGTATTTAAAGTCCCGAGACTTTAGGTCGAGACTCGATACACTTTTTTTATTTCGCATTTGAGTAAATCTGCTTAATATCATTCATTATTTTATCTGATGTCACATTATGTAATCATTATTTCTTGCTATTGATACAATAGAAATATGTAAAGAATTTTTTTTTTGCCTGCGGCTGCCCCTATGTAGATGGTTCGAGTAATTTTCTTGGCGATCGCTTGTACGGTGTGATTGATGCACTGCACTGCAAACACTTTAAGACTTCCAGTGAGATGGAATATATCCTCAATTAACACAAGCTGTGTTTAATATACATCATCATCATCATCATCATCATCATCATCATCATCATATACATCATCATCATCATCTAGGCGCGGACTATAACGTTTAATATATCTATCTATATTGAGGTAGTAGACGTTGTTTTCGGTCTGACAAAAGCTTATAAGAAATTTTGACTGGACGGAGTCAATATACGGCTAAGTTTAATTTTTATCGATCGCTAGAACATGAACTTCCCGTTTTATGTTAGTATTATAAAATCTAATATGTGTTTGTACACCGAATACAGTGTCCACACATCGGCAACGATATGATACATGATGATTTTGATATAATTATTTATATGCATATTTGTCGTTGACTTTTACAACGGCGTTCTTTTATATGGAAAATATTTGGACAGACTTTCTATCCTAGTAAATGTAGCAAAATGTGTAAAAATAAGGATAGCGTACAAACTAATGTTTTTTGGTGATAAAATAATTTCGCAACAAAGCACCAGCTGTTTACTAAAACATACTTATTATATCAAAATTCCACCAATTAAGTTAACTACATATTTAATTCACTGCAGTAAGAATAATATTTCAAATATAAAAAAATAATAATCACAAAGCTCCAACTTTTGATTACGTAACCTTCTTAAAATAACTTTTCCTGACAGCTCACTTTAAGACAAATTTTCACACAATTTTGAAACGTGAAATTTGTTAGCATCACAACACTATAAAAAATCTAGATATAGGTCGATTAATAAATTCAGCTTTTCTCCTAATAAGCATAAGTTTTACCTAAATTATGCAAAAATCTTTCAAAAACGTCATCAACCAAAAATCAAAATCACTCCGCGAAAACATCTAAAGAGGTAGTTAAATTTTAATTGTAAAATATCAAATATTCGCGTAAATCTAACAAAGTATTATTCTAAAACAGCTCATTAGTATTGTAACGTAATAACAAAGATTACTTACAGTTCAATCCAAGATCATGGTAGGTGACGATGGCTGGTTTCGAGCGGTCGCCCTGCACGGCCACCATGATGTCCCCGCGGTCGGTGTGCACGCGCAGCTCCTGGCACGAGCTGTCGCTGAACCGGCGAGAGCTTGGGAACTGCAGTTGGATGTTCTTCAGCTCAATGTCATCCATACTGTCGATGGGCAGCAAGCTGTTGGGAGACAGGTTACAGTCAGAAAATTTCTGAATGAATTGAACTGTTGAATATGAATACAAACGTAATATTCTTTTACTGGCTAGCATTTTGGATTGGGTACAGTGTTCATCCTTCTGTTATTATTCTTACCTGTCACATCTATAGGTACATATAATAAAATCTGTAAAATCTGTAAATAAAATCTGAGTCGAATCTGTACATTAAATATTTTTTGAAAAATCTTATTGAAATAGTTATTATTATAGATATGGAGGCCGAATCTATAGTTTTTAAACATTTTGCCTGTTTGTCTACCTGGGAACGCATCACGAGAAAACTGCTGGACAGATTTCGATGAAATTTGGTATCCGGGTAAACATATAGGATATTTTTTATTACGGATAAATATCTCATCTCTGAGAAGTCTATACTAAACGTTAAAACGTATCGTAAGGACGAACCCGTTACAGTTACAATAAATGCGTAGTTTGCATAAAAACACTTTTATTTCGACTTAAATATCAAATATTCTTCATATCTTATTCATAAATAATTAATCTTCATGGATATTCTTTATTAATTTAGAATTATTTTAAAATATATAATATGTATACATCACATAAATTACAATTATTTATTTTTGAGCATGTTTTGTTTACCTTTAAATAGATTTACAATTACTAACCTATATTTAACTTGTATATGTAGGTAAGTCAGAAATGTATATATTTGTAAAACTGCTGGTAGACCTTAATAAATAAAATTAAAAAAAAATGGATTCGATATAGCTATTAATGCTCCAAAAGGAACACAGCCAGTAATCTCTAGAGGTATAAGACCGATTTAAAAAAAAACTTTTATAGCCTACTTCAATATCACGCTACAGAATACCGAATACCATACCGTAATAGCATTAAACTTAAATTAAGTACTCAGGCAGATACGCGAGAAAACACGAGTGTGCGATAAATCGTAAGCAACCAAGTTCCTATTTCAAGTCCGGCTTAAAGAGAAAGATTGAGAGAGCTTCAATCGAGAGAATAAAGGCATTATTATATGTATATTTTATTATTATATTTTAATTATAATTTTAATTGATTAATTATTATATTATGTTTAAATAATAGCCGATATTTATGACTATATACATTATACATAGGTATGGTGTATATCACTTACTTGAGAAATGATTGATTCCCCATACAAACTTCAACCCCTATTTTAACCCCTTAGTGGATGATTTCCGGGATAAAAACTATCCTATATTCTTCTCAAGGTCTCGAACTATCTCCATACTAAATTTTATCTAAATCGATTCAGCTGATTAAGCGAGAAAAGGTAACAGACAGGCAGACAGACAAAGTTGCTTTCGCATTTATATAATATTAGTAGGTACGTTTTTTTAAATAATCCATTTATATATAAAACGTTTTATTTAAGAAGCAAACGAGCTACATACTGAGAATTAATGACACGAACATTCACAATTCAAGTCTTCATATCGTAGAACCACTTAATCTTCTTGCACTTGAAGCACATTTTACAACTCATATTAAGTTTGACTAATTTTAGGTTGCTATTCCAAAACGGTGACTTTATGGCTGCATCATGCTTCAAAAGTCGAGACGACTGATCTTAGTCTGAACTTTATATAAGTTTTAGATTATTACCGCTTTGTGCGACTAGACCGTCGTCTTGGCTTGTCATCATATGGTTCGTGTCTGCGGTTTGCCTTTACTGTGGTTTCTCTTCAAGCTGCGATTGACAAACTATTTTATGATCAAATTAGATGTCGTGTTAACATAATGATGTAATTAGTTCCATATTACTATTTCGTATGGACTAAAGCTACACAGACGAAACAAAAGGATCATAATTGAACAATTCTTTCACAAAACTGAGCTAAATTCAAAATGGAGATACATTGCAGGTGTCATACTTAAATATTGTATTTCCTGTGTCATTTGAACTTTTAAGATGAAACTAACAACTAAATTGATACGATAAAACAACATCCTACAGAAAGTTAAATAAAGCGCACAGACAGAAGTATTCGAATTTGATTACTCTTAACCATATGATTTACCTATAAATAACGAAACAAACACGCAATTCCTTTATCCTATCCTATGTAAGACCACGGTAATGTAATGCATACAGTACTCCAACTCGGCCCTGTCCTTGAAATAATTACCTACAGCCGAGCGGCACGTACCCACGCGACAGGGCTGCCCGAGTGCCCGAGGGACAGTATTTTAATTTCATCTACCTACTTGAGTTTCTTTCTAGTTTTGTGATTTCAAATATTATATTTTTTTATTAAAAACTATTATTAGGAGATTTAACTAAAAAATCTCAAATTTATAAGGGTGGTGTGTGATCCTTATAAATTTGAGATGTAAAAATATTTGCGCCTCGACCGAGGCGTAAGAAAAGCTTCATTCTTAAATTTAATAGTATAAAGATTCGGATAAAAAGTTTAATTAAAAATACTTTAATTTTTATTTTTAATTTACTTAATTAATTTTTATTTTTAATTTACTTAATTAATTTTTATTTTTAAAACATACGATGTCTCGATACTTTTTTGTTTGACATTAGCGTAGTTACGAGAGGAATAAAATGTTTATTTTTGTATCAAATTATAAAAATTACATAACAAAACCGCCTCACACAATTTTCGTATCCAATTATACGATGTGGCAGCCCCGCACGGTTGTCTACCGAGTGTATACCGAACACGACGCGCGTAAGTAAAACTCGATTTCCGACCGCTTGTATGAAGATGGAATACTGTACGTAATATTACCGTGGTAAGACGTAGAGGTAGCGCAGTGGTAGCTCAATCGCCTGGGATACCAATCAATCGGGTTCGAATCTTGAGTCTCGCATCTCTGGTTTTTTCACATGCCAATTCCGTCAATCCGCTATTAGGATCAGAAATTCTCTTCGAATTAAAGCAAAGTCCGTGTTCAGCATCAGGACATTAAAATACATACATCATAATATGTAAATTAATCAATAACATCCGAAACGATCAGTGCACTGGTTTGATAAAACAAAATATGAACATTTATTCGCGATATATAAATTGAATATTCACATAAGTAAGTGAAGCGGCAAAACCTGACTCATTAAGCATATTAAATTTAATTTCAATATATCGCACATTACAAATGCAAATATCAATACATAATTAGATTATATTAGGTCGAATCGAATGGCAAAATTGGACGTGGATATGTGAAATGCATTCTACTCTGTGTTAGAACTGAAACGTTCAGGTTTAGATTGGTACTTGATTTGATAGGATCTCTTTGTTGTCATGTGTACGAAATTATTGTCCAGAGGGTGATTTTAGATTATAGTGCTCTTGTCTGTCGTTGGTGTACAATTGTTTGATATTTTAAACTACATCTAATAATAATTAATTAATATATTCTTGTTGGTTTGTCCTTTTATTCTATCCACAGCGTCTGATGTGATTTCTTAAATAGAGTTGTTCGTGGGCGGAGATGTCCGATCCTATGTTTCGTCGTAATTACTAAACGGTTTTACCAAATTGTCATTAGGTTGGTCTTTATAATGCGAGTGGTATGTGGAATGAACTCCCTGCCGAGGTTTTCCCGGAGGGCTACAGTATGGGGTCCTTCAAAATGGGAGTAAATAGGTTCTTAAAGGGTCGGCAACGCGCATGTGATGCCCCTGGTGTTGCAGGCGTCCATAGGCTGCGGTAACCGCTTACCATCAGACGGGCCGCATGCCTCATTGCCACCGATGTGGTATAAAAAATATATTATACGGATATTATTAAGAATCAAAATTTTCTGCACACACGTAGCAAGCCTCGTAGCAAACATAAAACATATATGTCCCCACTGAGTCATACTACAACAATGACATGATAATGTGTTCCATTGTCAACTTGTTCTCATCCTTTTAGTTAGTTTTTTTTATTTATATAATTTTTATCAGAGTACTCCTTATAAAAATGCAACAAGTGGTACCATTGTCTGGATGATCAGTCGCGGAGAATTACTAATTTGTGTATAACTAATTTATCTATACTTCTATTATTCTATATGTATAATAAAATTGTAACTAAGCCGAATCTGTACATTAAAATATCTTTTGGAAAATCCTATTGAAATAAACATTATTATCGATACAGAGGCTGAATCTATAGTTTTTAGAATTTTTGTCTGTCTGTCTGCTACCTCATCACAGAAAAACCACTGAAGGGATTTTGATGAAATTTTAATTTTATCTTCTATTAATTCTTTTTACCGCGGGAAAATGTCTCATTTATATCAAAAATACAAAAACTGCAATGTAAGAGTATACTAATATGTAAAACCTAAGAATTTGGTTTTTAGTCATCTGAACGCGGGCGGAGCCGGGGGCAATGCTAGTAATATTATAAAGAGGCAGATTGTTTGTATGAATGCGCTAATCTCAGGAACTATTAATACGATTAGAAATATTCTTATTGCATTAGATAGCCCGTTTATTGAGGAAGGCTTTAGGCTATATATCATCATGGTACTACTCAAAGGAGCGTAACAGTAATGTAATATATAGGTCTATCTATTACATACTAACTGTTAAAACGTACCAATGGACGAACTCAAGCGAAGCAAGGAGGAGCCGTTGTTTAATATAAAGGCTAAAACAGACGCATGGTTTTTTAATTAGGCAACCCTGCTAGCCGGTGTGGCTTGGTAACATCTTGTTTGGCTAGCATCACTGAGAGTGATCGGATCTTTTGTTTTTTTCTATCATTATTAAAGACTATACTCCATACCATCATCAGACAAAAGAAAATAAAATTTCTTCAAACTTTCCTTCTTCAAACAATTTCTTCTGAAATTTATCTCGCTCGGGAATAGATCCCACTAGCACGTTTACGAACGAGTCATCTAATAAAGGTAACTTTATCAACTCGTTCCTAGTAAAAAACTACATCCTTATATATTTATATCACTCCAGTAGTAACTAACATAAGGTCATAATAA